GGCAAAAAACAGGCCCATTTTAGCAAAAAACGGGGTATTTTTTGCTCAATCCCGCCCCCCAGAACACTCTACAAGTCTCCTGAAGGCTATGCATGCCATTTTTGGCAAAAAATGGGCCGGTTTTGCTTGTTTCTGCCCCCCCCTTCCAGCCCCCAGGAGCACTTTGCAGCCCTCTCAAACTCTCTGCATGTCCTGTTTTTCACAAAAAATGAGGCGTGCAGAGGGTTTGGGAGGCCTGCAGAGTGCAAAAACAGTTTTTATTTATTTATCTTTTCAAAATCTTGGTGCATCTTATACTCTGAAAAATACGTTAATTTGGAATGTATAAAACACACAAGGAAAATTACATGGTAAATATCCAGAACATGCACCAAAAAGATGGCTTGGTTCAGGCAGAACACCAAAGGGTATTGTTTTCTGATGGCTTATTGGCAAAGCAAGAGATGCAAACTCTTCCAGTGCTATTTTTAAGGCAAGTCTTCTCCCGCACTCTCTTGGGATGAGTTCACAAGTGGGAAAGAACATTCCACAGGCATCCTAGTACCTCTGTGAGCTGATATTGTGGATCAGTGAGTGCATGTTGTGTTGTGCCTTGGCGTAGGAGCAACTGAACAGCTGGATAAAGTTATCCCAATACAAAAGACTATCCATCAATGTTAAAGATCTACCAAAAGAGCTTTGAAAAAAGAAGGCCTGTCTATCTTTCAGAGGGATATGAGGATATGAGGAGTCAGCAGGCACTGCTTTTCAAAATATATTCTGCAGAGTCTCACTGGAAGGTCGTCCATAAACTCAGCACTCATGGAGTAAAAGTATAATGGAGGAGGAATTCCTAGGGTCATCGGTTAATCTTAACAAAGATTAACAAAGTTAATCTTAACAAAGATGTGGTGTACGTCTAAGTTTTGTGTGTGTGTATTTTACATATTTATTAATAAAAAATAATAATTAAAAAATCTATCCTTGGGCTGTGAGACTTTTAAATACAACCACAATCACTCCATGAACCCTTTTCTTTCTTTTTTCATTTCTGTTATAATTTTGTACCAGTGAAGTTAAAACCAATTTTGTTGTATTTAAGTACAATGACAATAAAGATTATACTTATAAAGAACGTTTGCTGGAATTGGATCAGAGGTGGGATTCAGCAGGTTCTGACCAGTTCTGGGGAACTGATAGCAGAAATTTTGAGTAGTTTGGAGAACCGGTAAATACCACCTCTGACTGCCCCTGCCCCCATCTATTCTCTGCCTCCCAAGTCCCAGCTGAAATGGAGATTTTGCAGTATCTTTCCCCTGCCACACCCACCAAGCCCTGCCCACAGAACCAGTAATAATTTTTTTGGAATCCCACTACTGAACTGGATATGTCTAATCTTATGAAAAGAAGGACTAGTGTGACATGATAGCCGTTTTCCGATATCTCAGGGGCTGCCACAAAGAAGAGGGAGTTTAGGTGAAGGAGCTGACATCACAATGATACTTTTACCACTGGGTGATCCATCTGGATGTAAACCGTCCCGAAGAGACGGTGACAGGGAAGAGTACATCTTGCTGATCTCATGGACATCGTAAAGTCCCTGACTGATCCAAGAGAACCTCTTCTAGCCGGCAATAGAAGCGTAGCTCCAAGCTGCTGAAGTTGGAACAGCTCCGCAACCGGAGGAAAGCGGAAAGAGAAAGTTTGTCCATCTGGTGAGGAAATTTTATTTTTACAAAGGAGACTGTCCAAAAAAGATTAAAACCAAATTAAATTTATAAAAAAAGAAAAGAAAATAAGTGGCGAATT